GTGTGTGTGTGTGTCTGTGTGTCTGTCTCTGTGTGTCTGTGTCTGTGTGTCTGTGTCTGTGTGTCTGTGTCTGTGTGTCTGTGTCTGTGTGTCTGTGTCTGTGTGTCTGTGTCTGTGTGTCTCTGTGTGTCTCTGTGTGTCTCTGTGAGTCTGTGTGTGTGTGTGTGTTGGGGTGTGTGGTGTGGGGGTGGTGTTGTTCGGGTGCGGAGGTGAAACACTGAACATTACACATCCAGGTACCTGTCTGTTTCACGTGTCACTTGCATGTATCCATGGCTGTTGCCCAAGTTTCTAGCAGAGTATTGATCTACAGCTGTGCGCCTGTAGCAAAAGAGACACCTGCATTAGCGTGTGTTCCCGTACGCTCCGCGAGGGGATACACGCCCAGGTTACATTTCAACGTGGTAGCAGAGCTCCCGGGAAACGGGAAGTTTCACACTGGTGGAGGCATGCTCCAACCTAGTGGAAGCAACCGGATCCCCGGTGTGCTTCACACAAGTGAAGGTGACCGGAGTTTCTCCGGCACACTTCGAGGTGAAGATATCCGGAAGAGCAATCTCCCGGGGCTCGATCCGTGGACAGCGCAATGGCTGGCCACTTTGCTGTGCCGTTTGAGCATGGCGAAAGAGATGATGATCACCTCCTTCAAGGCAATGAAACATATGCGGCGAATCACCGCCATCTTCACGAATTACACCGACTTTCAGTTCTCCAACAGGCGCCTTCTGACGGGCAAAGAAGTTGGTTCGCCTACGAGGATGACCACGGTGAGCTGGAGACATGGGAAGATTGGTCATGGCAACTGAGGCGGTATGTTAGGTTGTACAAACCCTTTGCGAAACGAATGACGGATGATGTCGAAGGTTCCCAGAAAGTGACCGCTGATGGCTTGAGTGAAGCCTTTGATGTGCAGCAGACTGGAGCAAAAAAACAACAAACTGTTATTGTTCTCCTCGCGACAATTGGCGTGCATGCTGGCACAGACGGCACAGATCACTGACGACACCGCTTGGGCGGTTCTTCGAAGTGAGGACACGGAAAGGCTTTGAGATTTGGGGAAGATTGCGCAGATAGTTTGCAGTGCCTGAACGAGCGAGAGCCGCGAGTCTCCTGAATGAGATTCTTTCGTTCAAGCTGGGAAGTGATCAACTGGAAGGTGATCTGAGTGATTTCATCATCTTGAAGAACCGTTACAAGAAGGCGACTGGCAGGCCGTTGGACAATGACCTCCCGATCACACTGCTTATTGCAGAAAACGACTGGTCCAATGCAGCAGCATTTGCGTTTTAATAATTTCACTCTTCGTAACATCAACACATCGGTGAATCATGGAGATTGTGTGTAGCTATCTCAATAGCAGACATCTGACTGTGCCAAGCATGAGGAATGACGGTGGTCCAGCAGACTTGGACGTTGGAGCACTGAAAAGGAAGACAGGAAGGAAAGGAGGAAAAGGGTACTATGGAAAAGGTATTCACCTCGGAAAAGGCCCAAGCAAAGGAAGGTACAAAGGCAGGAGAATGAAAGAGAGAAGGCTGCAAAGGAATGAGAGGACAAGGAAAAGGAATGAAAGGAAATTCACAGGGACAAGGTTTGTTTGTTTGTGGTGACACGAGCCGTTGGAGTAGAGAATGCTAGCGGGAAATGTCGGCAGTGACCGATGCTAACCAACAGGAGATTCAACAAGGAGAGTGGAATCAGGTTTGGAATCGCGAACAGGAATGGTACGATGATTGGTCTTCATGGTAGTAATCGTGGCTGGAGTCATGAGTGGATAGGTTCGCTTGATGATGGGTCTGGTGACTGGAACGGGTTCGATAACGACTGGCGTTGTTGGAACGAAGATCCACCTTGGAGTTCACAAGACTGGTGGAGCACGGAGCAGCCGAGCTCCAATATCGCGCCTAGCTCCCAAGCGAATGCATTCGTCGCAGGAAGCCGCCAACTTGGAACGGTCCGTCGCAGCACGTTGCAGCTGTCACTGTCGAGGCGCAGGATCACACTGCGCCCCGATCGAGCATCCGAGGTGCGAAGCCTGAGCATGCTTGTTGATCGGCGTGTTGAGTGACGGAGGCAGCTCCTCCCAAAAATTTGCCGGAGGTTGTTCCTGTGAAGTTTGATGACAGAATGCTTGAGTTTCACGGGCAAGCTTGATTGGTCGGTAAGTCGTGGATAATGTTCGACAGTGGGGCTTGTGGAAGCTGTTGACCGGAATGGTTTGCACCGGAACATCTTGCGTTGCACTTGACAATGAGAGCGAGCCCTCACTGCGAAAAATGTCTGGGCAGACATTGGATGTGCAAGGCAAGAAAATGTTGCAGCTTGACTTTGGCAATGTCATTCCTTGAGCGCAAAGTTCTACGTGTGCACTGGGATGCCGTTTCCACCGGTCAGTGTTGCTGATTGTTGTTGCAGGACTTTTGGACTGTAGAGGCTCGAGACTATCTTGCTTTGATTGATTCGACTGGAAGCCCTCTTCCGATTGTGTGACAGGGTACATTGGTGTACTTGACACCGACTGTCATTCCGCATGCCGTTGTAGTTGTGGCGAGATTGGCAGCGAGTTGTTTGACTGATGTGTTGTCGGTAACGGAGCAACAGCTTGGTGCACTGGGGGTTTGCTGCGTATGTGGGATTTGCACGACAGTTCCTTTGACTATCTTCAGCACATTGGTGCCCTGATTGCTGCGGCACAGGGCATAAAGAATGTTCGTGGTTGCACGATGATGCGTGGGAAGTGAATGAGCCGCTGAAATCGATCCAGCACGTCAACACAGAGAAAGGACATGCTCGATCCTCGAATCGAAGCCCCCAAGACGCTGCCAGCGCAAATGTCCCGATTGACCGGCGACAGATTGACATACTTTATGTACAATGAGGGATCGATTGGCCCAGTGACCCGAAAGAATGGAAAGGCCGAGTGGCGTTCAAGTTGCGCCACAAGACGCAATTGAGGCAATGGAACAGCGAGCCCAGACAATGAAATACGCGGGTTGGCAAGCCTGAGCCAAAAAAGCGCTGCGCGCGCCAAACCACCTGGGGTAACAGCACAAAAAGGAAGAGCCAACTGGTTGACCTTCCTGGTTATAACCAATTTGACAACCATTTATGTCCGAAACCATGAACCTTCTGACGCTTTCTCAACTAGCTGGGGTCTTGGCCGGTCTAGTTTTGCTTGCTTGTGTGTTTGTTGTGGTTGTTTGTTTGATTACTTGTTTTTCGTTCTTGCAAGAAGGTACATCTGTACAAGCTTATGGCTTATGCATACATCTAAGTATATGCATCGCACTCCACTCCTGTCGTCCTGTTTTCATCCTTGTCGCTAGAACATCAAGCTTGAAAAGCAACTCGGCCAGACCCAGGCCGGCATCGCGGCTGGAACCTTCCATAGCATCCTGCTACAGGCAAGGGTTCGGGAGCTGGTGATTCCGAAGAAAAAGGGCAGGACAAAACTTAGTTTAGCAAGGAGGAGAAGCATTCATAAATCGCAACAGTGATCCTGATCTTGCCCTGGTCACCGAACTTATTGGGATAGCAACAGCAAGAGCTAGCAACGGACCAACAGCCACGGCATTTAGCACGAGCATTCCTGAAAATAAAAAAAACTCGTGCCGCAACAGGTGTCATCAATGCGGATTGCATCAATAGGCTAAGTAAGGCTCAGGCATTGTGAGAGTCAAAGCCGTGTACAAGTCGTGGATGATCCCCAAACTTCATGTATGGATTGTCGTCACTTCCGACATCTGATCAGACTTTGCATCCGGTTCCACTGTTCACGGGTTCTAGTTGCAGCGGGCGCTAGGCTTATCTTGGTGGGGGGAGAGTCCTTGTTTAGGATCTGCATGCTTTTGACGAGGTGGCATGGAGGGTTCTTGCAGTTAGGATTATTTTTGGATGTGCAGCGCTTACCGTGATGAAGCAGGTGGATGGCACTGCCGTCATCAGCGGTTTGAATGACAGCAGGCCGGAACTTGTGCCTGGCTTCGTGTCTTCGGAACAAGTAAGACATCCTGTAGCATGTCGTTTGGCACACTGCGTGACATTCACATCCCCTCACTAATAAAAGAAAGTCGAAGCTTGGCAGTGCACCCCGTGCAATAATGCGAGAACAAAAGCTTGAGTAGTGCTTCATACTCCCAAGTCCGGCATTTAACTTCAGGGTTCGTGGCTTGAAAATTTCGTTTCGAGGTCTGATGATGGGTTAAGCCCGTACCAGGCAGGCGGACGTCCCAACCGGCCACTCTCGGTACGTCGCCGCCGCGGCTGGCGCGTTCCACACAGCGCCTAATTAGCACAGGACGGAGGATCTTGCGGCATGTTGCACTTCGCAGCTGCAATCCGGAAATAAAGTGCTCTCGGTCTGCCATAGACATGATTGAAGTGGCTAGGCTGTTCATGAAATGTGCTTCGTTTGAAGTTAAAGTTGATGGTCGGTGCATATGTGGCGAATGCTTTCAGATGTGGCTGCTGGCACGTTGCTTGCTGAGGTGCTGCTTCGCGACGATGGCTGTGCAGCCTGGCATGGAACAGGGGTTGGATGATCGGACAGGTGAGACACTGAGTGAACTTCAGCACCTTTGTCTAAGCATAGCACGGGTGGAAGATAGTGGAAGCTTCCGTCATACTTGCACAAGCCAGAACTGCGTTTCCTGCTTTCCGTCAATCCATCGGTGTTTTGTATCACGTGTTGCCGGCTAGGGAGACCGTAGGCTTACGATGTAGATCAGAATTTAGGCGGGTTAGGGCCAGGGTGGCTGAGACTTTCGACAATGGCCTCAGAGGGGGTTCAGCAGCTTGGGCGAGTCTTGGCCACGAGGCTGTCGCGTTCGGCGAAAACAGCGATGGGTAACTCGGCGAGTTCGTGTGTCCGTACTCTGCAGCTGCATGAAGGCGTCTGAGAGTCCAAGCGCATGTTTCAATGTGCCCGGTTCCAAGGCAATGTGACATACCCGCCTTGGACGAGGGCCTGGAGCACCTTGGCAAGCTCAGCCATGGTTCTGCTCAATTGCAAGAAGCCGAAGCACGCCGCAATTGCGCAACAGCAAACATCCTCCTGTCTGGTACCTTTTACGCACGTGTTTGCTTCCTGGCCCCAACTCCCATGTGTTCGCTTGGACTCAGGATCATAAACTTGCCTGAGTGCTGAATGCTGGTCAGCAGCAGATACGCTGTGCCAGGTACTTGGCTGTGGCGGCAGGCTCTCTTCACACTGCTGCCTGCCTGCACAGTCTGAGTGGTGGCTCTCCAAGCGGAGTAGTCGTTTCTTTGTGCACTTCTGGGCTTGACGGTTCAAACCGCACGAGATTCCAGCCCATTCACTGTTCCGTGACTTGGTCTGAAACTGCCGGAAGCACTGAACCCAGCCTCCTCGCACTGAAAAACGCAAGACCCTGGATTGGTGGGCGACAATTGGTCTAACTGCAAAAAACTGTTTGCTCTTAAAGCTGCATGCTGATATATCTAAGTCTGCATGCTGGTGCAACGCCCTGCGACGAGGTGCTGCTGCGCAGTGACGGGTGCATCATCGCTTGTGGCAGCAACTGCGCCCCTCGGCATCTTGTGCAATGCCTGGACTGTTGTATCCAGGCCTTTGCATCAATTAGAGTCAGGTTTAGATCGTCTCTACTTGGAGTGTACGAGCCATGCATGGCGAAAGACACCGGCCAAGGCCGGTCAGACCAGGCTGCCGAAGCTGAGCCACTTGCTTCCGCAAAGATCCCTACCCCAAGCCTGAACTCGAAACCCAAGTCGAAGCTTAAAGCCTTGAGATTCTGCAGGAGTTCACTTCTGAGACTTTCGGATGGTGGGTGTTTCGGACAGGGACTGAACGGACTGCTTGGCCATAGATAGCCGGATCTTCAACTCCCCCAATCGCTCGAACGACCCCTTGAATCCTCAATCCTCTACCTTGGCGAATTTAAGGTTGATGGTTTGGGCCGGCTGGCAAGTTAGATACTGAAGCTTGCTGAACGCAGTCGTCAAGTCACAGGAGTTCCCAAAAAGCAGGGCGCAAGCTGCACGATAAAGCGTAGGCTCAGGGTTCAACGGTCGAACCCCTAGTTGGCTCGATCCCAAGGGTGGCGAGCAGCTCAAACCGCGAACATGAAGCCCGTCAGATCTTTGCATAGCAAGCTCGTGCAACAATGAGAACTGCCATGAACTGGCAGGTCCGCCAGCTTGTTTCACCACCAGCAAATCCGGCCACTCAGCGAGACCTCGAGTTTCACAGAAGTTTCGCGGGAGTTTCCAAGGTAGATTGCGATCCTTGAAGTCTACCCTGAACCTGGTCGTAGATCTGCGGCCGATTTGAGATGTTGGGTTTGGTGTGCGCAGGAGCCTTCCGAGGGTCTAGAGTCTTGACCTGAGTGACGCTTGTTCTCTCTGCTTCGCTCCCCGAAGTGGTCTGACTTCTCCGAACGTAGAGGCAGACTTCGAAGCAGCAAAGGCAGGTCCTCTTTGTCCGTAACAGCACATCCCCGAAAATTGTGGTCCAACTTTGGATTAGCTGATCTGATGGGTGCAGATACGCGGAGCAAGAAAGTAATGACGGCCAGAACCTGGGCAAGTCTCGGAGGTCCCACAAAGCGACTCGAATCGTGTATGATCTGGAAGACTCAGGGTCTATGGTTTGGATTTCTGGCATTTCCTGCGCAGCCTTCAAGCTAACCCCTGCCCACGTTCCTGATTCTCAGGCGAGTGGACAGTGAACGCCACGGCCGCGCCTCCCATCAGTGATCCTTTGCTGCTCTGGGTGACTGCGTAACCATCAGGTGCTCGAGGGGCTGAGATTTCGAGCTCTTACATGAAAAGAACTAGTCCTGCAACGGATTAAGGGATTGGTACAAGCCCTTCGGACAGTCTTGATCGAATCTAAACCACAAACGAGAGCTGCCATCGAAGGACACGGCTCGGAGCGACAGTCGCAACGAGGTGCGGGGAATGTAAAGTCTGGGGCGTGGTCTTCATCAGCACGCTACATGATGCGGCATGGGTGAGGGCGAGGCCGTTGAGCTTTTCCTTTCGGGCAGAAACTTCTGCATGTGCGGAAGTTAGAACCCTTCGCAACATGAAAACCGATCGGCAAGCAAAGCTTGTGCAGAAAAAGTCAAATGACCCAAAGAGAGCCCTGCTGGAGTTTTTCCCCGAATCCCGCCTGACTTTGGACCTCTTCAAATCCGGAAGCCTGGGTAGGCCTCAGTCCTCGATGCCGGCTCACCAGCTGGGCTTGAGGAGTTTGGAGTGACTTGGGATTTGGGAGTGAAGGTGCCTACGAAGCACGTCTTGCCTTACACGAGTAAGAACCAAATCATGCATTGGAGTGAATGACTCGCCCTCCACCCCTCCACCCCAACCCTCCAGCCTCCTCCGAGACAGAGCATCCTTCTGCTGAATAGGGGCACACAACTACGGGTTGCAATGCATCGGCGGCTTTGGGGCTGGTCCGCGTCTTGTTTGCTAATGGGCTCAAGCATGCATTGGTAATTAGCGCACAATACCTGCACAATGAATAAGATCACGGCCGACGTACGCTCTGGCGGAGCTGCTTGGCTCTGACACGTTTATATATTATTCTTGCTTGCTTGCTTGCTTGCTTGGCTGGCTGGCTGGCTAGCTGGCCGGTCGTGCCTTCGTTGCGCAGTTGTGTATTCATCTGCACCTGCAACGTGCATACAGCATCCATGCCTACCCACCAACCACCACCTACCCACCTCCCTAACCTTACCTACCTTCGTCCAGCCATCTAGCCACACATCCATCTATGCATCCGTACATACATCCATGACAGCCATGCAACCATGCATACATACATAACTTAAATAGTGTCTGCATAGACCTCAACTTGTTGAGTTTTGCATGTGGGTATTTCGGTCGGTCATTTGGTCGGTACGTTGGTGGGAAGGTAGATGGTTATGCACATGTGTCATATGTAAACACGTATGTATGTATTTGCGCTTCTGTATAAGTGCACATGGTTGCATATCTGCATGCTTGCATGTGCCTGAACCGACTTGCTTTAATCTCGAGCCTACAGCCCTGCCTGGCCACGGAACACGTGCCAGTTGTGCGGCCTCTGCTTTCCACAGGACGGACTTGAGCATGCCTCGCCGCTGCATGACTGGGGAGACGATATTCCGGAGTCCTTGCTACAGTCAGTTCCAGTAGATATGGGGATGAAGAAAACTGCGACATTTTTTCCCAAGGGCGAGCTTCGGGATCTTGGGCTCGGAAGGCTCCGCATTGCGATGATGGAGTAATGCTCCGGATCTATTGTCGGCAGGTTGCAAGATCCCGCTTCAAGGATCTCATCAATAGCTTCGGCCATGTTGTTGTAAACGCGAAACGAATCCACCCGAAGCCAAGGAAGAGCTTCCGGACTTCCCTGCCGCTCTCAAGCTGCACAAAGGATCCTCGTGTGGGTGTTCGTGCGCCAGCTGCTGCAGGCTTTAAGGAGGCTTTGGGCGCTCAGGCCCGTACAGTGCAACCGTGTAGGCAGCTCGGTTCGGCTAACGGCCAATGCAGCGGAAGAGGTTTCTGACTGGAGCTGAAAAGTTTTCAACTTTGTAGAAGATGTTGTGATGTTTTGCCCTGAAGTTCCTGGCCCAAGTTCAAAGGCCCCCATTGCTTGTGTTTTGTTCCTTGGAATTTCTTGGGCTGCAGGTTGTCACGACACCTCCTTGCGAGGCGGGCAGCGATTCTGGATGATAGGCTGATTTTCGGAACTCTCTTAACAGGAGGTTTCTTGCCGTGTAATTGAAGCGGAGGGTGTTGCTTGATTGAAATCGGGAAGTTACGCGTAACTCGGAGCTTGTCGCCGTGTGCCTGGCAATTGTGGGAGCGGAACTTCGGCGAAACTTGTTTCTAGTCAAACCCCAGCACACCACATTTTTTGGAGCGGGTGGCCCAAGATCATGAAGGGCCCTAGGGTAATGTACAGAGAAGGGAACGTACGTTTCTTGAAGGGGTCTTGTTTTGTTTCAGAGGCAGCTCTCACCATGGCCAACTTTTAAGCAGCCAACGGTCTCCGCTACTGCAACACTGCACCGATACATGTTTGCGACATCAAAAGCTTGCTCTGCTTGGAGACGGGTTTTGCAACTCGAGTTTGTCAAAATGCCAAATGGCTTCAGAAAGCAGAGCTCAAAAACGCCACTGCTGCCAGATCAAACGAACACAATATCCAATGGCGCATGCTGCAGGGCCGCAGGCCTACCATTTTATGTGAGCCACATATTGCAAGCCTGAATGTCACACAGACCTTAAACTTACGAGTGATACCGAGGTCTGAGTAGTAGTAGTAGTAGTAGTAGTTGTTGTTGTTGTTGTAGTAGTAGTAGTAGTAGTAGTGGTAGTAGTGGTAGTAGTAGTACTACTACTACTACTACTCCTCCTCCTCCTCCTCCTCATGCTGGTGCTGCTGCGGCCGCTGCTGCTGCTGCTGCTGCTACTGCTACCGCTACTGCAACTGCTACCGCTACTG